TAGCAGGAAGCTCTCCACACACTCACCGGACCTGGGCTAGGACTCGGTCTGGGGTTTCCCGGACGTGTGCAGAAATTCCTACTGGGTGGAAGGGGTGGGGAGGTACGGCGGAGTGGTGGGGGGCGGCCCGATGGGGTGGGAGAGGGTCTGGCCCTCCCTGCGCCTAGGCTGGGACTGGTCCCGCTGGTGCAGGTTAGCAGGAAGCTCTCCACACACTCACCGGACCTGGGCTAGGACTGGGTCTCAGTTTTTTATTTTAATAGAGTACTACTTGTTTGTTTTCGTTTCCTGTCACCTATGCTTTTGGTATTATATCCAAAATTTCATCACCAAGACAAAAAATTTCAGGGGTCTTTATCTGTTATCTCCTAGGAATTTAACATATTTAAGTACTATATTAAGTCTTTAATCCATTTTGAGTTGGTTTTTGTAAGTGATATGCAACAGCTGTGTGGTATTTTCTTTTTCTTGCTTGATTGTAAGCAGTTTTCCAAATACCTTTTTTTTTTTTTTTTTTTCAAAACTGGGGATTGAACTCAAGCCCATGATCTTGCCAGGCAAGTGCTTATTCTACTAAGCTATCGCCCCAGTCCACCAAATACCTTTCGATATACATCTGAAATGTCCCTCCCTGTGTTTGGAAGGTGATTTTTCATGGGGGTGGTGAACTCATCAGTGGATTCATCCATTGATGAGTTCTCTAGCTGAAGGCGGCACCTGGTTGAAGGTGTGTCCCTCGGGCTGGAGGTATAGCTCCCTCTCAGGGCTCTCCCTTGACATTCTGCTTCTTGCTTTTATGGGTGGAGCAGTTTTTCCTCAGCTTTGTCCCCATGCTATTCTGTTTCTGCCTAAGAGCCAGTTGACCTTGGGCTCCCAGAAACTGTGTCACAAAATAAACATGTTGTAGTTTGAGTTGTGGGCATTTTGTGCCTGCAAGGAAAAGGTGTGAATATACTCTTCTTTTGAAAATCCCATCATATCTCTATTGTGTATATTTGAGAACCTTGCCAAATGTTAGTTCACTATATGTGTCTTAGTTTGCTTTTTTAGTCATGGCCACTGAGCTGTCTCCCCATTTAGAAATGGATTCAAATCTAATATTTGTCCACTTTAGTGATACTTAGGATTTGAAGCAGTAAATTTTCAGTAGCAGTTTCTACTGTGAGTTCAACCTGATCTGTTGCTCTAAAAGTCTTCTTCTCTTTGACATTTCTTTCTTTTTTAAAAATGTATTAGTACAGGGGCTACAGGTCCTCACTGCAGAGTTTGGACTTGTAGTGCTCCTCCTGTTTTGAGTCTCTCAAGCACTGGAATTACAGGCATGCGCCACCACACCCAGTCTCCTTTGCTGTCTCAGCACACCCCAGAGGCAGGGCTGGCACAGCATGCCAGGGATCGAACTTCAGTCCCTGTACTCTGCCTGAACAGGTGCTTTAGTCCACTGAGCTATCTGGCTGGCTCTCTTTGGTACTTCTTTGTGAGGGTGCATAATATTAATCCTTGGATTGTGCTTCCCTGCGTGGATGTTGTGTTTGTGTAGCCCAGGGAGGGACCCACTCCTGGATCCTGGTAGAAGGCCCATAAATAATTACTGAGTGAAACACATTATGCATTAAAAAATCTTTAAGGATCATTTCTGCTGTAGTTCTGTCCATACCATTTATTGTGGACACTCATGTTATCTTCTCATTTGTGGGATTCTACCCTTTAAAAGGAAAATTGCCTTGTCCTACTCATGAGCCAGGGATTTCTTTCCATCAAAACATTTTGAGTACTTCCAATATACCTCAGATCATTTTAGTGGTTCAAATGGATCTACCAGAGATTTCATGGCAAATTCCTGTTTACTAAAGGCCCACCATCTTAGTTGCTCATGGAAGCTTTTCTCATTTAGATTCCTGCCTTTGCAAAGTTAGCCTTGATGGTTATTTTTATTCTTTATGAAGAGTGATTGTACTGTGGGTGCAAAGCATTGTGGACAGCTTATACTTTCTTCATTTTCTTGGGTCTTCTGTTTTAGGAATTAAATTGCCTGTTTAATTATCCAGTTTTTTGAGTCTTCTGTTACAAGAATTGAAATAACTTTGTTTCACCCTGATTTTGCTTTTATTTTATTCTATTCCCAATACTCTTTCCCAAGAAGCTTGTAGTATAACATAGTCATATTTTTGTTTAAAAGTGATACATATCATATGTCCATTTTACAAAATACTGATCTAAAATTTTAAGTTACCTTGTCTAATGTGTTTATATTTTGGTGTAGATTGCTAAAATTTGAACCTGAAGCATCCTGTTAATAAATTACTGTACAGGGTAAATTCAGAAAAACAAACTAGTGACCCAAAAACAAAATTCCTTTGTCTTCTCTTTTCCTGCCTTGCTTCCTGTCCCCTTAAGTCCTAGTGTCCTGTTCCCACTTTCCCAACCCCTGCCTAGGATGGTGCTATGGAGTGAGTCCCAGGAGGAAGGTTTATCAAGTCAGATACACACTTACACTGCATTTCTCTTTTCACACTTTTCCAGCTGGCTTTTCAGAATGTTTACTCTTTCCTTTTTTTCAGGTTCACAGATTTATGTTATGGAAAAAAATTCATAGAGACCAAGGTTGCATTTTGCTCCTTTTCACGGTCTTTTGACCTTTGTTGTAGAGCTTTGGTATAGTTATAACTTTAGAACCTACAGAAATTCAGGTGCAGATCTACAAAGTTCGAATTTATCCAGTTGTGCCTGGCTTGGGTCTGGCTGCTGTGCTCAGCTCCTTCCTGCTGTCGTCATTGGGAGTAAATCTGTTGTGCCCCTCTGGTAAGATGTTCTGCTCCTGGACTAGCTGGGTGGTTCTATCCCCTACTGTCTCTGCAGGGACTGCAGCTGCAGAGTTTCAGCCCAGGCCTGTATGCCAGGCCTGAGCTGAGTCTGAAGGGGACAAGAGGAAGTGAGGGAGAGGGTAAACTCTCCTACACACTCACTGGGCCTGGGCTAGGGCTGGATCTGGGGGTCCCGAGAACACCGCAGAAGTTCTCACTCACTTGGCAGGCATGGGGGGGGTACTATGGAGTGTTGGGTGAGTCCCAAGGGCAGGGAAGAAGGTTTCATGCTGCTCTTGGGTTTGGACTGGACAGGACGTGCAGGTAGAGTAGCTGGAATCTCTCCCACACACTCACTGGTCCTGGGCTATGGCTGGATCTACCTTCCATTTTGTAAATAATTGCATTTTAGTACTATTATTATTTTTTTTGACATTTTGTAGCTGTCACTTTTATTGGACATTAAATAGCTATGCTTTTCACATCGAGTCTAATATGCTGAAATACACAGGAGGCATTTCTTGAGAGTGTGGCTTCTACATGGAAAAGATTAAGGCGGACTGCTCTTGTACGCCTCTTATCCTCACGTCCACCCTTTGGGAGCTACTCATTCCTTGCATGGAGCAATCTTATCAGGCTTTCAACAGCAGCTTCAATTCCAAGCACTCCTAGCAGGGTCTGGAAGCTCAGAGGAGCATTTTCTATGACTCCATTCTTGTCCAGCTGTAAGGCTCGCTGAGGAATTTTTGTGAGAAGATCCAGCTTTGGTAAAACCTTCCCTTCTTCATCTACTTGTATCCTCCAAACAATCACCAGTTCAAACCCTGGGTGGCGAGCACTGCAGATCCCCAAGCAGTGGGAACAGGACCCTTCTGGGAGGTGTACTATGTCTGGGTACTTGTCCTTGAAATGTTTAAATGTGCGCTTACGATACTCATACCACTTCACAAAAAAATGCAGGCCTCGGAAAAACATGAATAAATCTCTTCTTTCTTCTGCTCTAGACACAAAGTCACTTAGTTCTGAGTATTCTGAGGGCTCCATTATTATGGCAAGGTCAGTAATGACAGAAGATAATTTCTCCTTATTCTGTGTTTCCAGAATCTGTAATTCAAGTTGAAATGTAACTATGTGGTAATTTCCTGATAATCTGTGTCTCTGTAGAACTTTCTTTATACCTTCTTCTGCCATCTCAGTGCTTGTCAGATCCTCCATTGTCTTAGAGTAATCTGTTATAGTGAAGCCAGTAAGCACACTGAGAAATGAAAGTTCTGATTCTAAATGTCTAAGATCACTTCTCAAGCATTCTGAAGATTCCCATCCTGCAGAATCTGGTTGGTGTATCTCTAGAAATGATTTTAGTTACTGGAGGTTTCAGTCCATACTCAGCTGGGTCCAACGCAGAGCAGCACAGAGCAGAAAGCAACCTTTCATGGTGGTGGCAAAGAGCAGTACTATTATTTTGATGTGCAAGAAAGGGATGCCACTACCCCAAATGAGGAGACATTAAATTGGAACTTAGGTCTTTGAACTGTAGAAAGCCTTTCATAGTACAGAAAACACTAGAACCATAAAAGATAAAGGAGAAATCACACATTTGGGATTAGATGAAAAAAGGAGGCTTCCAAGAAGAAAAACATCATTACCATAATTAAGATAAAATAAACTGATTTTTAAAAAAGATGTGCTACATATATAATACGGAATTGACATACATGATGTGAATTGGATAATGACTTTAAAGAGTTGACATATGTGAGGAACAAAGGAAAAGCAAGAAAGCCCTGAATGGTCACTTTATTATAGGAAAAGTATAAGAAAAAAAAAGGAACCTTCTAGAAAATGCCACAGAGTATTCCACCCAAACACAGCTGAATACACATTTTTCTCAGCTGCACATGGGTCATTTTCTAAAATAGACCACATGCTAGTCGATAGGGCATACTTAAGTATATGCAAGAAAACAGAAATTATCCCATGCACATTATCTGACCACAGTGCAATGAAACTGGGAATAAATGACAAAAGAAACCAGAAAAAATCTTTAAATACGTGGAAATTAAATGACACCCCACTCAGTAACCAATGGGTCACAGATGAAATTAAACAAGAAATTCAACAATATCTACAATTCAATGAAAAT